GGTGCCATGCCGGGTCCCAGCGCCTCACCGTCTCACCTGCTCGAAGTCGCGCAGGGTCTGTGTGTGGGCGAGGGGACTCATTTCCAGATCCCGGAGGAGACACGTCTGCACCAGGGGGTCCGGCTGGGGCTGGGCACCCGGGGGACCACTGGAGCCCCTCGGCTGGGCTGGCACAGGGTCCTCGTCACCTTCGCCCCACAGCCCTTCTTGGGAAGCTGGCAGGGAGCAAGGGCGAGCAGCAGTCAGGCGAGCGAAGCCTCCGAGGAGAGCAGAGCCCAGGGGGTGCCCAGAAAGCCAGCGGCCACCCCTGAGGCGATGCGGGGCACTCGGGGGACCCGGGGGGCTCTCGGGGTGCCTTACCCTCCATGTGTCTGGCTCCGGGGACCACGGCTGGCACAGTGTCGCTGCTGCAGGGGTCCCTGCGGAGAGCAGCACACGGCCGTGTCACCCATAACATCGGGGGGCCAGGCCGGATCCCCCCACCAGTGCCACCCCCGCCGTGCCGGAGGGACCGGGAGGGTGACGGGGAGGTGCCACCGGTGTCCGGGCACACGTGGGGACACACGTGTGTGTGTCCACAGCCGCCGGGCAGCGGCTCTGAGTGCAAAGACGGCAGGCCCTGGGGGCTGTGCAGATGGCAGTGTCCCCTCAGCAGCACTTTAGCTCCATTAGCAGCCCTGTCAGGGCCACCTGAGCCCCCACAGCAGACCCCCACAGCCCCCAGGGGAGGGTCTGGGGCCACGCTGGCCCCGGCTGCTCTCGGAGGGACCCTGTTCCTCCGCGCTGTCACGGCTCACCAGCTCGTAATCGGGTTTATTTTCAGCTCAGGAGTGTGAGTCATTTCATGATTTAAAGGAAAGAGAGAAAGAGAAACCCTGACGAATTTTTAAAAAGCCCTGGATCGTTGGGTTTTTTTTTTTCCTTATAAAGGAATCAGGATGTTCGTTTTCTAATGTCAGCCTGAACAGGTTTTTGGTGGGGTCCCATGAGCAGGGAGGTGGGCACTCACCCCAGCACCAGTGTGGGCACAGTGCCCAGCCCACACACACAGGGCTGAGCCCCAAAAGCCAAGGAAGGCCAGCACATTCCTGTGGCACAAGCCATGGTAGGGGCCCTGGGACTGTCATGGGGGGAAACTGAGGCACGGTGACTTTAGAGACGCCAGCACCGGTCAGGCGTGGCTGTGCGCCCTGCCAGACACCATAACCAGTGTGATACCCCAAGACAAAGCACCCAGAGGTGTTGTACCTGCAACACCCTGTACCTGTTGTACCTGTGACACCCAGAGACACCCCAGACTCAAGATGCACAACACTTAAGGAAGCAACAGTAGCCAGGGGCGTGATATCCTAATTCATTATATCCCTGGAGGCAAAACACCCAAAAAAGCACATTAACCTGTGACATAATATGCAAAAATACCTTGGAGACAGTCAATGGGCTACTCTTCTCTCCCTTGTCCCAAGCCAGGAACACCTTGCTAAGTTTCTGCATATTATTATTATTTTAATAGGGAATAGAATGGGCTCAAAAATGTTGGAAAAGCAACAATAAAGAAATTGTTGGTGCAATACTGAGGGCTCGCTGATCTTGTGTGCAAAAGGAAATTAGAGCACCCTCTCTCCTAAAAAATGGCAGATGTAGAATATACTGCTTTGAAATCAGAAAAGGAGCAACTTAAAAATTTATCTGGCCACAGCTGAAAATAGGGAAAAGCAGCTGCAGAAACATTTAGAGGAAGAGAAGGAGAAAAAAAATAAAAATTGGAAGAAAAGGTAGAGATGATGCTTGTGTGAGCTCTCAATCCCCCTGACATCATACAGATTAGAAAACTAATATTCCCTGAGGAACAGGATGGAGACATATGGGGTGACCCAAATGACAGAAAACTGGGGGAAGATGATTCTTTGTCTCCTTCAAATCCCCCTGAGCATGAAGCCAGATGCATTATAGAAACAGAAGAGACAACTGAACCTTGGTGAAGAGTGGGAAATCACAGCTGAAATACAACCCCATTCGACCTGATCCAGTTTGAAAAGTGCTGTGGCCATAAGCCAGGCCAGACTGAAATTCAGCAGGTAGAACCCTATCAGTAACAGCCCACACATTCTGATTCCAGGTGGGCCTCCTCAGCTATTAATGACATTTCCAATAGATAAAGGAACACAAATTCCACTATTAACACAGCAGGACGCTGAGAAACTGGACAGAGTTGAACTCACTGGAGTGAAAAGAGCAAGTGCTACGCGCCAAACCACCAAGGCTAATTTATGGCTCCCAGGCGATAAGCACATGTCCTCCCCTCACTTTCACAATGAAAACACTTTGGGTTTCAGTGTTCTGAGCAACCAAACCTGGCAGCTGATGCAGAGCAGCCTTTGGTCCTCCTGCTCAACCCTGACCCTAAAAGAAATCCAGATACCGCAGTGCATTCACCCCACACGGCGCTTACCCTCCCTCATTCAAAAGCTACCACGGTGCAATTCTCTGCTGCAGCATGAAACTGAACTCCTGAAGTTACAGCTGCTTTGGGAAAAAAGACAAATCAGCTCCAGGGCCCACTCCCCATATCATTCACCGATTGATCACTCGCCAAACTTTCACCCCATGTAATTCACCGGTTTGGCTAAAAACTGGCACGGAGATGGCAATTAACTGTTGATTACTGGCACACAGACAGGGTGGGATCAGATTTGGAGAAAAGAGAGAGATGCCAATGCCAATACTGAGCCTTTAACCACTGCTGTGCCAAATATCAAGGAACTGGTAACTCAATTTTAGGGACTGCCGCACTCACTTATGGCAACCCTGGATGTAAAATAGATGTTTTTTTGTGATTCCACTCCAGGAACACAACAAGGCTTGATTCATCTTCACTAAGGTGGAGTGGAATGCAACATATTTTTAACAGGCTGCTCCAGGGACATAAACACTCTCCCACTATTGCTCTGGCAAAGTCTTAGCCACAATCGTGACCCTCAAAGCTTACAATATATCAGTAGATCAATGATATCATCATCAAATAATCCCAGAATGGCCTGGTTTGGACAGAATCTTAAAGATCATTTTGTTCCAATCCCCCTGTTATGGGCAGGGACACCTTCCACTAGTTGAGGTTGCTCAGGGCCCCATCAAGCCTGACCTTGAACATTTCTGGCAGTGGGACATCCACAGCTTCTCTGGGCAACCTGGGCCAGGTCTCATCACCCTCAGAATAAAGAATTTTTTTCCTACTATCCAATCTAAAGGTACCCCCTGTTAGTTTGAAGCCATTCCCCCTCATCCTGTCACTACATGCTCTTGTAAAAGTCTCCATCATTCTTGTGGGCTCCCTTCAGGTACTGGATGGCCACAATGAGGTGCCCCTGAAGCCTTGTCTTTTCCAGGCTCAGCAAACCAAATTGTCTCATAGAGAGGATTCTCTCAATTTCCCTCACAGAGGTGCTCCATCCCTCTAATCAATTTGGTTGGAGAATACCCTATGGTGGTTTTGCCCACACGGAAAAATGTGAGCCTTGAGCTCATCCCAGCATCAGGTGAAGTTCCTGTGAGCCCACTGGGTTAAAGAAGCCACTCCTGTTCTCTTGCAAACCCCAGAAAACAAAACAGAACATGGACAGAATCAACATAAAGGAGCGGCAGCAAGTTCTGGGAACTTTAGGATTATTAAGAGAACTGAGGTTGTTCCATCAGCTTGATCCCATATACCTATGGTACCATATACCTTAAATATATACCATATATACTTATGGGGAATGGGGGGTTCGGTGAACACTGTTCCCTTTTTCATCTGTGACAAAAGGGGTTTGAAGAGCCACAGAGAACACTAGACATTAGCTGCCACTCTTTCAATGACACTGGAACAAGATATTCCTATCTCGAGAAGGGCTTGCTGTCCCTGCTGGTGACACAAGCAGAACAGATAAGGAAACAAAGGAAAGGGCAGAGACTATTGGGGGGAACACCCAGCTGACTGATACCAGGCCATCCTGTGCTGGTTACAATGTCTCAGACCAGGACCCTGGCAATGGTATTAACAACCCCAAAATAACCTCATGCCTGGGAAACAAAATATTGGCTCAGGGCCAGCCCAGGGCAGTGGCTGCCTGCAGGCTCTGGGGTGAATGATCAAAGCCCCCGCTTTCCCAAAGTCCAGCTGCCCAGGCAGCACCCCCCACACAGCCAGAGTGGCAGCCCCATGCCTGGCCATGGGAACGCTGGGCCAGCAGGAGCCCAGGGCTCTGCCAGCCGTGGCTGGTTGGGCTGGGAGGGGTCTCCCCCCTCCCAACACTGGGAATTTGTTTGCTGTGGAGGGGAGGCCGCTGCAGTGCTGCTGGGGCTGCAGGAGGACAAGAGCCCTTTCATGCCAGCCCGGAGCACGGAGCGGAGCTGCCGGCGCAGCGCAGAACGAGGGGGGCTCAGCCCTGGGGGGCTCAGCCCTGGGGGCTCAGCCCTGGGGCCCCCCACTCACCGGGCAGCACTGCCCACCCACCCCCACGTGCCTCCAAGCCCTGGCACCAGGGGCACCACGCGGCCCTGACTCAGAGCCCTCAGTGACTCACAGCATCTCCCACTGCAGCCACTTGCCAGCACTGGCACCCCGGGGTGAGGGGACCACGAAGGGCTGGAGGCAGGCCCGGGGCACAGGGGCTGTGTCAGAGTGCCTGCTGCCCATGGGGAAAACATCCTGGGGTAAATCATCCCCAAAGCACCGGGCACTAGAACCCAGCAACAGCAACTCACCTCCTTCTGCTGCTGGATCACCTCCTGCGGGCAGACAGATGGACGGAGGGATGGACGGAGGGATGGACGGAGGGATGGACGGAGGGATGGACGGAGGGATGGACGGCAGGACCCAGCCCCGTGCTCAGCCACTGCGTGCCAGCGGCTCCAGGCTGGCCGAGGGGCTGTGGCAAGGGCCAGGCAAGGCCAGGGAGAGCGTGGCACATCCCAGCTGAGTCGCTGGCACAAATGTCTCAGCAGGGGCGGAGTGCCACCACCACGGAGGAGGTGGAGCGGGGACAGCTCCCGGCCGAGTGTGCGAGCACAGCCCGGAGCGCACGGCACCGACCTGCTCCCGGGGCACGGCAACAAGGTCCTCATTGAGCACGGCAGCCCGGGGGGAGCCGGGGCTGGGCGGCACCGCAGGCGTGGCACCGGCACGGCTCCCGAGGCCCAGCAGCCCTGGGGAGGTGCCGGGACAATCGGTGGGGCCAGCGGCTCGGCGTGGAACCGGGGATGGGCAGAGCCAGGGGAAGAGCGGGGACGATGGAAACGGGGCTGGGGAGATGGGGCAAGCCAAGCTCCCTGCACCAACAGCGGCAGCCTGGACCCCTTCCTTCGGGGCCGTGCTTGGCCCAGCAGCTCCCAGCACACCTCACATGCTCAGCGCAGCAGCGAGGAGAGCTTAGTGATGGTGCAGGCACCAGCCCGGGATCCTCCAGCATCCCTACGGCTCCTGCCCGCTCATCTGGCACACGGACATTGCCCTGACACCTGCACAGGGCAGCGAACACCAGCGTGCCCCCGGCGCTGGACAAGGGACTCTTGGTCCCTTTCATGCACACCAGCGGCTCCCGACTTCTCTTGGGCTCGCCTGGTGCAGGGCCCAGAGAGCCACCAGCCCAAAGGTGGCTCTCCCAAAAGTCGCAACCCACGGGACCCCAGCGGGAGGAAGGGACACCCACGGCCCAGGGAATGGGGCTTGGGACAGGGGGCGTCCGGCCCCGCTCATCCCCGAGGGAGCC